GGTGGTAGCTAAACGTGCGGCTATTAACGCAGCTTGTAATTCTAATCTAGGAATACTAGATGGTTTCAAAGGAGCTACACGTGACTTGCTACAGACCAAAGCGAGTTGTACGTCTCCGTTAGAGTATGTAAAGCGCCAATATGCTACTGCTCCGTAAGCTTGGGCACTGGCGTCGGCAAAGACGTGTAACTCGGTTTGACTTGGTTGCAAAAAATGATGATTATAACAACGCGGAATTTTTATCTTGGCGGTAGTAATTAAATCCTGAAACCAATTATTCCATGCAATGGTTTCAGAGTTAGGGAGCTCGATATCCCAGTCTAAATTCATTCGCCAAGCATTTTGGAGTAAAATACGACCGCGAATAACGATAGGCGCGAGGATTCCTAACGGGTCGAAAACTCGCATGATTAAAGATAATATTACACGCTTGGTAAGCGGATTGGGCAAGGTCTCTTGGCCTTGTTTAATATTAAAACCTATGAGATCTCTAGAAGGGTGCCAGTATAATCCTAATGCACGGACGCATGGTGACAGGGACGGAAGATTTGCTAAATCGATGTTAATGTCAGATACTGATTCCGATAAAAGATGTTTTGGTAATAAACGAAGTGCATTCGGGTCATTCGATACCCATCCGCGCATTTCCAGTCCTGCACGAGAATGGACATGGACAATATCGGCAGCTAACTGAGCAGCTCTATCACTGGAATCTACCGAACCTATATAGTCATCCATATAAGTGTCATATATAATGCCATGCACTGCTTCGGGATATTGATCTTTAACTTCTAAAGCGTTTTTATTTTTCATATATATAGCCGTAAAGGGACTCGACACTGCACCAAAAATCATAGAGGACATCCTGTAGGTAGTTATGGGTACATTAGGGTTATCACGCCACAAAAACCGTTGCGCATCCCTGTCTTGTTTAATAATTTTAAATCTAGGAAACATTTCTTTAATGTCAGCTGTCATCGCTACCTTTCCTTCTCTAAATCGAAGCAAAATATCGAATAATGATTGTAATAAATCTGGCCCTGTAAGTAAAAGTGAATTTAAACTAACCCCTTTAATTTTAGCGGCAGCATCATGGACTACACGCAGTTTTGCCGGTTTGTTAGGATTCACTACGCCAAAATGAGGTAAAAACCAACATGCGGAATTCGAAGATGGCTCATTCTGACATATTTCAGCGTAATCTTTACTAACGAGGTCGTGAATATTTTGTCTATAGCGCTCAGCGTAGCCTGGGTCACTAATCATTTTCTTCTCCAAACTTAAAAAACGAGATAAAGCAAGAGAATAACTATTTGGTATAATAGGGTTGTCAGGTTTCCATAATAAACCTACTTCAAACCTACCACATGGAAGGCGGTTGGCAGTGCGCTCTAAAATTTCGATAGCGCACGCATCTGCTGTACTGCGTGGTTCCTTTTTACTAATACCTATTGAATCTAACCTGTAATAATTCTTAATAAGGTTTTCTAATGAGCTATTGTCAGTAGATGGAAAGTCAGACTCGTCAAATAGAACATGATTCACTATGTCGACCGGACTAGTCCTACTACTGCGAAAACCGAACAATACCCAACCTAAAGCAGTTCTAATTGCAGCTGGCTGCGACTTTGTACCATTCCGTACGCATTGAGGAATAGTGAGATGCCAGTTGTCAATACCGATCACAATCTTTGGTTGTGCATCATCATAACATAAAAATGGTACTAAGTCAGAAAGATAAGAAAATTCATTAATATTTTTAGGATAAATTGATTGTCTAGCTAACTGTAAATCTTTAATAGAACGGGCCTGTCTAACCTGATGTATTTCATCCGTGTGACAACCCTTAATGTTGAAATTGACATATTCTATTTTTGTATATTTTGACAACCCCCCAACGCATTTTAAGTGAGTTTGTACACATGGACCCCGTGCTCCAATTTGAGCTGCGAGTTCCGAATCTATAAAAGTAGATGTGGACCCGTCGTCCAATAAAGCATGAGTATTGATACTACCACGTGGACCAGAGATCGTAACAGCTATTATTTTTAAGAAAGGTCGATAATTCGGATGTTTATTATTATTACATGGTGAAAACGAACTACTAGCGTGAGCAACGAAATCAGTCGTCTCTTTGCTCGAGGATTCATCAGAACTCTCAAGTTCCCCAGAGTGAGGAGTGGAAGACGATTCACCTTGTTCATCCTCATTTTCAACCACATAGGCAATATGTAATAATTTATGATGTCTAGAATTACATTTTTCATTGGTACAAATCTCTTTAGAAATATCACAGTTTTTATAATTGTGCAAACCTTTTTTGAGACATTTGTGACAAAGTTTTTTTTCTTTTTACAAATTTCCACCTGTCATCAACTGACAATGTCTTAAAATCACAACAATGAGACAAACTATGTTCGTTATTACAAAATAAGCATATCTTTTTATTGTTGGATATGGGATTTGATGATTTTTCATGATTTTCAGACTGATAAATATACGGGGCCGTGGACGTAGATGGTTTGTATGTGTTAACTGTGTGGACTTTGTCGGCTTTTTTAGGGTAATTAATAGGCTCATTGAGAAGACCGAACTTGAGTTGTAGGTCCACCTCTTGTGCAAGGAAGGAGGCTAGCAGCTCAAGTTTAGTAGTCCTCTGGGTGAAATGAGTAGCTGCGTAGTCAGCCCATCGTGTTCGTAATAGAGGAGTAAGTTTACTAAGTACCGATTGAAAGAGCTCTGGTGATTCCAAGTAGGGTCTTTGTTCTAAAAGTCTCATTACCTCCACTGAATTACGGACGCGGCAAGAGAATTTATGAAGATCACTAGAATCGGTGTTGACCTTTGGTAACGAACGGATTGACGCAACTTCTTGTAGGACAATTAATTCAGGTCTGCCAAATCTTAATGCTAAAGCCTGTAGTACCTCGATAGGGTCTCGCGCAGAGACTAGTAGTACCGCCACAGAATCTTGTGCCGCTCCTCGCAGCGCCATACCAATCCGAGTCAAGTTGTCCGAAGCCGAGTATGCTGCTTGTGTATTGTCATATACACGTTTGAAGGTCAACCAGTCCAAAGGCTTCCCGTCAAAGACCGGAAGACGCCCGTCTCCAAACGTCTTGTGCTTATTATTATTTGATAATGAGGTGATGGCCTGTGCTAATAAGGTTATGTCACTAGGCGATTTTTCAATTGAAGAAATGGGTTTAATTGTAGTTGAACTACAAATCGGCCTCGCGGGGCTTCTACTAATTATTAAATCGTTAGTCATATGTTCTTTTAAGACAGGACGGAGAACGTTTTGAGAGTTTGTGGCAGGCATAGTATAGGTGCTATTACGTGTCTGTAGAGGTGCTGGAATTGCCGCAGAACGATTTATTTTATTAATAGCTGATTCGCTACAAGGAACATTTATATTAACGTTCTGCGGTTGCAAATCTACGTCTATCGTAGTTATAGCAGTGTCTAAACATGTGTCTAGCCATTTCCGAACCTCCCTATTAGAAATATAACTTTTGGAACGACGACTACTACGTACGCTACCTCTTTCCTCCAAAGCGGCAATTTGTGCTTCTTTTCGTAGTTCTAAAGCAGCACGCTCTCGTTCCAATACGATACGCTCACGTTCGAGGGTAGCCCGCTCCAAGATTGCTATTTTTTGGGCATAGTCTGCTTCAATTTCTAGAGTACGACTTCTTATGGTAGCTGAAGAACCTGAAACAGAACTAGCCGCGCTGCTGGGAACTCCAGCGGTTTTAGCGATTACACTCGACGAGGGAATGCCAGGGCTTCCGTGATGTACGGTAGAAGACTGGCCCTGTTCCACATCAGATGCACTCGTTTTTTTTGTTGAACGTGTCTTTACCATTGTCTTTGTTGGCGAGAGGACCAATATTTTAATTATTAATGTTTCTAAGGACTGTATATATTTTATATTATATTTTTAGTTACAAGAGAAACTACGGTCGCTGATGGTAAAAGACATATATTTCAAAGTGACAATAAAAATCGAACGAAACATAAAATATTTAAATATATATATAAAAAAATATAATTATCATATAAAAAGGTGCGTTATGCACAGAGGAGGTTTATGTTACGGGTTAGACATATCTATGTAGGGAGATCTTCCATTATATTTACGTTATTAGCATTCGGCTGCGTGCTCCATAGCCGTTAAGGGACTCTGAACTATGCATACGTGCATTTTTTAACAAAACATAAGAATCATAGACTTTTTAAATTAGTGATAGTCCCGTTGGTCGATCAAAGCGGGCACCGTCTAACGGGACCATCCCACCGGCCCTAAGCACTGGTCTCGTTCGGATCACTGTGACCATCTCTAAATTATAAAGCACCTTGAAACGAGATTATAGCAACGATTTTCAAAGCACCGCTCTCAATTGTAGCGGGTACAATCGATGTAGTTTATCTCATATCATGTCTTCATCGAATTTCATTTGATGAGTTTATATTATTAACGTTTAATACCATACGACTAAAGCGTAGATACGATATGTTTGCTATTGCATTATTATTCAAACGCAAACGATCCCTAACAGAAAGTGGAATACAATGAAAATACGAGATTTAAATATAAACGACAAACGAGATTTAATACAGATTAAAAAGGCTAAAATATCTAAATGTTAGAAAACAGAATGTCCGTAGGTATTATCTAACTTGCACAGTAAGTAATGTACTGCACGTATTGCAGTGAACATATGCGTTGTTAAATCTGATGAATTGTACATATCATCATTATGTATTTTGTGGTTTCATGTCATAAAAATACATTTTAAATTTAATAGGTGTCATAATTTGTTTTCTTAATATTTTCTACTTTGTCTATACATACTTTCCTCAATATATTTTATTTTGTAATGAAAATAGAAATTTTAATTACATTTGTATCCATAGATTTCTAGTAGCAAGGTTAAGGTTTCAGTAACAAATGTTATATAAAACTTACAGAATATTTATACAAAGTCAATACATACCTGAGGACGTAGTGTAGTATGTCTGGAGTAGTAGTCATGCTGGTAAAAGTTAGTAGGTGACAGGGGGGGCCTATACTTCTTATGGCCATAACCCATTGTGTCCATTGCATGCATTTTAACGGCACAAAACTGTACTCAGTCCATTACACTACTATTAGATATTTTGTTCACTGCCGTGAATCGAGCACGTTCTACATCTGTAACAAGAAGGAATTGTATTAAGACTACTTGAATATTTTACAGCTCATTAATTTTACATTTCGCCGTAACATTTCCTTTGAACTTTAACTGTCAGAGAACATGTTCCGAATAAAAAATATGGGAACACGGTATGTACCCACGACTGCATCGAACATCTCATTTTTGCCTAGTTAATCAAGGATTTTATAATACTATAAGGGTTTTAAAATAATAGTGTGAATGACCTAGATTTGTACTGGTATATATTTGTACTCAATAAAATATGGCAATTTAGAAATTTGTAACAAAAAATATATTATTTTAGTTTATTAACAAAAGACAAATTCTCGAAGAATCCTTAATAGAAATTTATGTATGAGTTCGTATTATTACAAGCAGTAATTTATGTATTGAATTCGGAGCTTGCTAATTCTTGTAAGAACATTCCTAACGGAATCATTTGTATGTATTGTGGTGTACCAACTTGTACACTCAGTTCACTCACACAGATGCGACGTTTTATTATATTTATTACCTCCCGCGTCATTGACACCGCCGTCCGGTTAACGAGGTGTTCGAGCACTATCATAAAATAGATATCTAATTCCGAAAAGTCAAAAACCTTTACTTGAGCACATAACCAAACATTGACTTCTGCGGAAAAAAATATTTTATAAAATTGCTCTATCTACCATGTATTGACCATGTTTACGTATAATACATATACGGTTGTTATAACAAATCGGGTAGCAAAGGTGCTACTTTACCGATGCTTTACTGATTGACTGACTATGTCGTAATGAAATGTAATATATTATCAGTTAATTTTGATACAATTTTATCTACAATAGCAACTTTGAATTACTAACTCTGATGTATAACATAAAGTAGATATTTATTAATCTAATTCCAGCAAGTCATTCAAAATGAAATAATAATTAGTTATATAGTGTCATGTCTAAATATAAGTACCTACTTATAAAGTATTGTTACAAAAACAATAACTAACATACTTTATTCACACGTTTTTTAGACCGGTCGGGATGTAATGTTTTAAATCTTTTAATTATGATTCTTTAAAGATATGAATCCTTACTGCTGTCATTTGTTTAACGTACACAATATTACTATAGGGCGTCATGGTCAGCGACTGCAATAAGCTCTAGTAGATGTGTGTAGGTATTAGGATTAGTACTAACATCCTACTCTGTTTTCCTTGATGACGTGTTGCAATATATACATCTAATTCTAACAAGAAATATTCACTGTTGAAATTGATTGTTGACTGCAACCAGGAAGCTGTTACTTCATTTACGTCAGCGATTTATTTGTACACTTCTATTAATTTTATATGATCGAGTAACGATAGATCTACAATTCTTTTATTTGTCTATTAAATAATGTTTATAGTTTCGACAAGCATTGTGTAAGTAACGTAATAAATAAAATTATTGTGAAGAATATTACTAATTATTTATTACATTGAGTTCACAAGCTACAGCGGTGTATAAAATAATAAAATATACCGAATTTGGAAGAATAGTACATGTATTAGTAGAATAAATAATGGTAGTAATTAAATAGTGATCTTGAACGCACTAATTGTATATGCTAGCGAGCACTAAAGATGGTAGGGAGAATAAGGATTAAGTCTATTACAGTGTTTTTCAGGAGCAAGGACCGCCTAGGGTAGGTACGTTGTTAACAATAGAGCTAATAAGGTAACACCAGCTCTATTGTTAACTCTGACTTTCCATTTTCCTCTTCTCAATGCAAGTACATTTATGTTACAATTAAGAAGATAGCAAACCTTAATAAATGGGCTTTATAAGGACTATGTTTACCGAGTCACTGTTCAATTCGACTTAAAAGTATTATGTATATGATGTATCTCTATAAAATATCAACGAACTTTGATTTACCCGCCATATGTTTAGTAGTAGGTATCAAAATATAATAAACATACGAATATTTACAAACCTTCAAACTTACGTCCAATATTTATTTATTTATTATGGTTCATTAAAGTTTAGGAAGCTGTTGTTCGTTTTTTCGAAATCGAACAGTACTTCCGTTGATTCTTAAGCAGTTCCTAAACCCGTTATTTGTTTAGAACACATAGACACAACTGATATTGTCTGCCATAGAGTAACTAACAATAATGCCCTTACAGTTTTCGCAGCACGTAATACGAGCAATTTAGTATCGTTAACACGTAGTGTGCGATTGCTCAACACCTTGCCAGACCTTGCCCTGCGTGTGCATCGCAGTTGACTCATATCACAGACCATGAACACCGTGAGAACTGATCTAGTTTAAATGTAGTTTTTATATTAATATTTTACTGACTATACGACAGTACTTCAGTCACCTAGATTTTTAATATTGTATTTATTTTAAACTATCTTCATTATGGTCAATAAATTGTTGGAACACCTAAAGGTAAGTAATTTTCTTCGTCGACCCTTTTAGGGCCATTATAGAATTACATACTTGGATATAGATATCTAGAGGTATCTAGAGGTTTTGCATTACAATGCATTATTTGGATATAACTATTTTAAAAATCTTCACGCAACTTTCTTTCTTCTTCGTCTGCATCATGTTTTTCCCAATTTTGCAACAATAAATTAAAATATAATAATATTTTATTGTTCTAATTTATATGATTGTTGGATAGATCATGTGGATATCTCAATTAATTCTTTTATTTCACATTTTTTATTTTAATGACAAATATAAATCACAAATTTTCTTATAAAAATATAAAGTGTGCCTTTGGTCGTTTTGACGCCGCATGTCTGCCCGTAGTTCGTAATAAATAATATTTATATGTAGGTTTTACAGAATTAATTATTATGTAAGTACGTAAATCGCTCCATAACTGACCCAAATAAAAGGTACCTAACTTGATCTAAAGAGTATATTATACATATTAATTAAATATTATTTACATATGACAAATTTCAAACTTATTTCATTAAATGTAAATAAGCTCATGCGTATGGTTATAACTGCCAAACTTTATTATTCAGGGGACCCGAACCTTTTTATTTGGAACTAAAGGGTCCCTAAAGGTACGGACTTCAAAGTTGGTTGCTAATGATGTTTATAAACAAAATACCTGCGAAGTTCAATGTTACGGCACAGTACGGCGGCAGCGGCGCGGCGGCGCGGCGCAGGAACACGACCATATCAATGTCAATGTCACCTCTCCATTTGCCACAAACCGTAAATCTCATCTTAAAAGACCACTCAATTGTTGAATGAATTTATTTCTAATGAAATAAAAAAATATTTTAAGAACTAACAAAAAGGCAGGAAATCTAGTTGCGTTTGGCCCTACCAAAATATCAATTATTAAATTTTGTATATATAATTTTATACCTACTATATATATATATGTTTAATCTATGAATGTAGTCGGGTATATTTGAAAGTATCGTAAGTAATGTTTTCTAATTTTAGGACCGACAGTCATTCTTTCAATTAAAAAGAGGAACACGAATATGTATAAAACTGTTTGTTCATTTATTAAAAAAAATTTTGCATAACTCTTTTTTGCCACCTCTACCTGTAGAAGTCTAATTAATTAATAATAGTAGTTATATATATCGATTTTATCATGAGGGTCAGGTCGAGGATGATGATTCAATATAAGAATTAAAATATTATCGAATCCTAAATAATAAAAAATATAAATAAAAAACCGATGATTATATAATGATTCATGAAGAATACAAAAAAAATTAAATGATCACGACTAAATGAATAAACGTTATGTATTTAAACATTCCGTATGGTTGAAATCAGAAAATTATTAGGTCACTAATAGGTATAAAGTTAAATATTTGTTCATGAAATGATAATTTCGGTAAAAGAAATTATACTATTAACTCCATTAATACAGATAAGATAATATTACGTAATACCTGGTAGTATTCTTATATATGTACGAGCTATCCCCGCAAACCTTGTTTTGCCTTATAAATTAAAATCAATATTAAAAATTAGGGGTTGATAATAGAAGACTGAAATGTAGGGTTGTATATAGTTTTTAATGCCACATTATAAAAAAATTGTTCAAATAATTAAAAATAAATATTAGGGGTGTCCACCCCTTATCACTTAGGGGTATGAAAAGTAGATAGTAGCCGATTTTCAGACCTACTGAATATGAATATAAAATTTCGTAAAAATCTGTCAAACCTTTTCGGAGGAGTATAGTAGCGCGAGAATTCTACATACATATGAGAAGAAAAATATATCAAAACTTAATATAACTCTTTCTGTTTATCAAATGTGTATTTTTTTAGGTATAATACATTAATTTGTTTACAAACCAAATCCAAACTATAAAAATTAGTTTCAGCGAGTTAACACATTTACAAGTTAATCAAAGAATGTAAATTATGTGGGCGAACTAACGCGAATTGTTGTGGAATTCGGACAAATACGGTACCTAAACATATGTATATATGTAAGAGCGTGCGACACGAATCGTGGCCTACAAATTAAAACACTCGATTGTCAACTTCTCCAAATGGGATTAAGATTAGGTTAGTCTGTTTACACCTGTAGATACTAACTATTAAACAGCTTATTTTATAATTTGTGTTATTGGTTTGCGCGGAAAATTAAAGCGATTCGTCTATACTTCTTATTCGGATATAGCATTCTCTTGTTTTTATTAGTCATTTAACCTTATATTTCTCTAATAAAATAGACATATACTTAAAAATACATCAACCCGTTTATTGGTATTATTTTTAACATCCTAGCATATCATAATATTTTAATATCTGAGCTGTTATTATTTCAACTACGATTTTCGTATATGTGCGTTATTTTTACCAATATTAAATATTATTTAAGGATACTTTATAATAATTATACCTTCGTGATATGTCAAAATAATAGACCTGACGACATTGAGAATTAGATACGTAAGTATTAAAAATGATATTGCAAAAAGTAAGAACTGTGGATATGTAGAAACATTATCAAATGAAAGAAT